TTGATGTTGCCACGTACACATCTCTCTTGAACTAAGTCAAATATAGTAGTGAATACAGATGAATGGTCCACTTTTCTGTACCGTTCTCTATAAAAATAAGTGGTCCGCCATGCAGATGCCTAAATATAATTAATATTGGATTGCTTGGTATGTACATAAAACCGATGGTCGGCACAGTATCAAATAAAAACATGCGCGTGCTAAGAAATGCAACAGCGAAGTCGTCATAGCCTTAGATTCAATCTGGTTAAAAACCATACGGGAATCAGCATTTGTGTCAGCTCATAAAATCACCTAAAAATATTATTTTAAATCTCTCGTTTTAGCACTCATACGAAAGGTTCAGATGAATAGTATTTCTTAAAGACTTTTGCCATAGAGAAATAAGAAAATGTTAATATAGAGCGAAATGAATGTTGACAAGGTCCTTAATTCGCTATGCTGTGCTACTTCTAAGCCTACCGAGTGATTTATAAAGACTGGTGAATAAACGTCACTAAGTCCGTAATCATTTTTAATCATGGTACGCATTACCGTAATCCTTGTGACGTCATCGCTATGGAAATAAAAGAGTTTTCTGGCTGGTAACTATGTATGAAATATCTCCAAACGCCTCAAATATTATTTATGTATCAAAATGCTACAAATAAAACCTATATAAATATATTAATCATTATGGCCCCAAAAAATTAAAATATCTTTATAGCCGTATAATCTAACAATAACTAAAAATTTGTCTTACTTGGCTACTGAATATCATCAATTTCAAGAAAAATTCAAATTGTGCACAAAGGGGCTAGATGCACGATGATGCACTTATCTTCATTTGCATACAGCTTATTCGTGCATGCACTCAAGAACCGCTCTCAAATGGACGATGTGGATCTCCTCATTTGTCCTCCACAGTAGACGAAGAGTCGTCGAAGTATATTTGTGCATAAGCCCCGTGGGGCCTGGACAATTGTCAAACGATGATTAAATGTAGCTGGTGCATTTGACAGTCCTTGGAGTATCGCCAGCCACTCCCAGGCATGCCGCTCAAAGTACTCACCGCTGTCAGCGAGATACTCACTCTCAAAAGCAATTGCTAATACCCATCGACCAAGTCCAGTTCGCTGTACTTTGTACAGCCAACCATATTCTTCTGGAGAACATTATTCGTAGAATTCGGCGTTTGTGCCGGAATACTGACAGCGTTTAGATTATTGTAAGCGTGAACGATACGCCACTCGCCGTTCGACTTCCGGACACAAAACGTCGGTGTCGAATGGGAAGTCTTGCGCTCACGCACCATTCTGCCTCGTGCTTTGCACAGAAAAAGGTGACAATGACATCATACTGCTCCTTGGCAGGGGCCATTGGCGTTTTACACAGTATTTGGTTCCCGGGACCAGGTCAGTCTCATGACGCACACCTCGGTCCGGAGGTAGAGCCGACGGCGGGTCTTGGAAGACGACGTCATGGAATTCCTTTACCAAAGAATAGTACCGATCTGAGGGATTTTTCGAGATCGATGATCCACTTCATGCGTTTAGCATCCTCTGAGTGTCCTCCAGGACAGCTTCATTCAAAAGCGACGACGAGTTAATCTCCTCGTTCTGTCGTATGATGACCACCTCGGGTAACTTGCCTGCCTTCAAGACACCGCCAAAATCTTTAAAGGACATCTCGTCCGGCTCAAGAAGAGCATCCACGACGGGAATAACCTCGAGGGTGAAGTCACCGTCTTCCTTCCCCGTCATACCGTTGACAAGGGTGTATAGCCGTTTGCTATCGTCTACGGTAGACACACCCTGGGTCAAGGTCGACGCCCTGCGTCTTTTAGATAATATACGACGTCACTGTTGCCTTTCCCCGAAGGTTTTACGTCCCGGCGAGACCGGTGTGTTCACACACTCAACATCGTCTAGTGTTCCCACTTCCCGCTCCATCGGAGGCTTGATGTTATTAACAGCATGAAAAGCTGCTAGTTCCGCAGTCTTCGTCCAGTGACTAAGTGCCACTCCATGCGCATTTGAAGGGCCTCGCCCTCGATGCCTCGGCCCTTGGCCAGCCATGCCACTCTTGGCATGCAGCTATTGCTCCAATACTGAGCAGCGCTTAGTAAGCTACGTGCCACTCCACGTTCAGCCCGCGAGCGATGCTCGGGAA